CAATACAGAGAAAAACTATAACATTTGCCTCAAAAGTTGGTGAAATGTCGACATAAACTGTATTTTTAGTAGGAAATATGGATCCATACATATGTATGCACACTTACAGGGACTCTATGGAGGCCACAACATGTTTGGGCATTTTGAACTTTAAGTATTTATTCATTTCTGCTCTTATGTGACAAATTTTTACTCAATCAAAAGTTGGTGAAATGTCAACCAAAGACACACTTACAGGGAGCTACGATCAGGCTTAAACATCTACTCACATTTTGATGAGCAGCAGCAGTGGTTCTCCTGCTTCGGTTCAGTATTCGCTATGAAGTCGACATTAAACACGAAGGAGCTTTAACACATGAAACACCGTCAAAAGACCAAAAAAGCAGCTTTAATCATGAAGAAGTTTGATAAAATACAGCGTAAAAGTGCAAGTTGGCGGTTAGCAGAGCTTTTCTTCAATTAAAACAAGTCTAATCAACCAGTAACGGACATTTCCGTCACTAACTGGTCAACAGATCTTTTTATAGTTAATCTGCACAACTTCAACATGCTATCAACAGCTTCACTTTGCGCTGGTGCTACAATGAAAAAACTTCCGGTAACGTCCTCATTTACTCATTTACGGCAGCAGATCTAATATTTGTTGAGCTCCAGAGGAGACTGGAGCTTATTGTGCTAAAGTAAACTTAAGCGATCCTTGCGTTCACCAGCTTGTTAGACATCAGCGCCGTCTTCATCCCAAATCTGCTGTTTTGTTTTGGGTTTTTTTTTTCCATTCCTGGGAGGTGAGATGTGTTTCCTCCCTCTGGTGAACAAGAGCTAACAACGTCCCGCCCACAAATCAGCATCCACATTCAACACTCTGTTGTGTCATTTTGGCTGCACAACCATCATTCCTTCGTCGCCCTGCAGCCACCACCGTTCGTCCTTTGTCTGTTCCAGTGTGTGATGCAGCTTTGTGTTTGCTTCGACTGGTCATGGACAACGAAGGAGAGTCAAATAAGTCTGTGTGAGGGGAAAAAAAAACATTAAAAAGCTGCAGAGAGAAGAGAAATGCAGCAGTGGAGGGACTGAACAGTGGGATATCTGCAATTTGATTTGCAAATGAAGTGACCTTATCTCTGGGTTTTTTGGACTCCAAAAGGTTCAATGTGTGACTCATGTTTTCACATTCATGGTTTAATGAAGTTGGACCCTGATTCTTGTAATATGCACAAAAAGAATGTTTTTCAAAAGCAGTGAATTTGGTTTTGTCGATTCTAAAATGTTGCAGAAGACTCCTCAGTTCTTCCTGGTTGTTGTTGTGGTGATTCACAGCACAGTTCCAATTGCTTTCCGTCACTTCCTGGTGTTCAGGCTGCATTAATTCTACTTGTGCAACAATATTTATTGTGCAAAACATATTTTTTCTTAGTTGAATGAATGTTGTTTTTGTGGATGCCCGAATTTCTTTTGTATAACAACAACAGAGGTTTACTAGTTCTACTTCTAAACATAATCATGCAATAGAAGAATGCATCAGTTTGCATCAATCTGGATTATGAAAACTTCTAGTAACAATATGTTCAACCAAATTGAGTTAGCTGACTTAGCTTTTCCTCTACAATCAGAAGCATTTTAGATCTAAAGCCACCAGCTATCGAGTCACTTTCATCAAGTTACGTGAATTAAATTTTAGTTTTACAACAATTAATGCACAAATTTGAACTTAAATTACAGGTAATATTAATATCGTTAACTCTTTGTTATCTAACATTATCTTGAATTTACCCAAGGGGATTAAATCTATCTATTGATCTATTATTATGCCATTTCCAACCTTTAAAAAAAAAGTTTAGTAATAATGTCATTAGAATTTATTATTACGTGCTGCTTGGAAACGTGAAAAAATGTGATTGTTTTCCTCCTGATCAGATCCCAGTAATTTAATATTTTGTATATTTATATTTTATTTAGTATTATGCACACTTCAATTACAGCAAAATTATCTGTGTCAATCCAATGTATATAGAAAAAGTTTTTAAAAACTGTATTTCTGCATTTAAGCCGTTCCTTAATGTTCTGTAGATGGTCAGGAACCTTGTTGTAAAGCTTCAGTAGAACACTGATGAAGTGTAGCGTTTAGACGTTAGCATGTACCGAGGCTCCACGAGCTCTAAAAGACGGAGAACACCTGTATTCTCTACATGATGTCAGTAAATGCATCGTAGACCAGCTGTAGTACCTGGTTGTTCCACCAGGAGGTGGAGGAGGCGTCACTCAGACTACAGGCAGTTTATGTTGGCAGCAGAGAGCATTGTGGGAGTTTAGCAGCAACGGGACCATGACAGAGACTCTGAGGAGGTTAATGAGCGCCAACCAGAGCTCAGGTGTTTTCGGCCCTGTCCACACATAGCAGAGTATCTCACAAAACAAAGATATTTTTCTATGACTTGGCCTGTCATCCACACAAAGGCGCATATTTACGGCATTAAAAACGGTTCTTTCAAAAAGCCCCGACCAAAGTGAAGCTTTGTCAATTATGTGTCTGCACGTGGACGTCAATAACCGGGGTTTTAGGTTTCGAAACATCTCTGCCTGCGACAAAGTATGTTCTTACGTCACATACGCGACCTGTGTTTATATGTGGAAACAGTGTGGACGCCCTCAGAACTGTGTTGGAGTCGTCTCTTGTCCAGGCCCAGATACTGCTCCACGTATAAGAACACAGGCGAAGGACGACGTTAAGGACGGTTACTTTATGATGTCAAGAGACGGAAGCTCACTCTGATTGGATAGGATTTTGGCATGCTTATGATTGTGCTTACCAACACATTTATGTGTTTAGGTGTGAATGAATTTTTTTTCTAAAAACGAGGTGGTGTGTAGGGGGGGAGGATATTCGGTTTTATTGAAACCCTGCTACGTGTGGACAAGGTCTAAGACAAACTGGGATCAGCTGTCAATCCCTCTGACATATTGATCAGATGCCTTTGCAGCTTAAGTCATGTTTCTGTTGACTAAAATAGCGACATTAGCACAGGACAGATGTCAACTGTGCTCAGTTTGTGTTTTAAGCTAATTGATTACTAACTAATGACACTGTTGATTATTGATGAGGACGTGATAGAAGATTAACATCCCTGATGTCAAAGTTGGTGAAATGTTGACCTAAGTCTGTCTTTTTCGTTAAAAGAAAAAAGAATACATCCATATATACACTTACAGGAACTTCCTGGGGCTTCAATATCATCCTTTTTTGAAAATGTCTCGTATTTATTCCATTTTAAAGGGCCAGTAATTTAAAATTTGGCCTCAGCTGGAGCCGTTTAATTATTTCAATCTCCTGCAAGCAATTTTGTCTCCGTCCAAACTAGATTTCATGGCTGTAGAAGTTACATTTCTGGAGATATTAAACTCTCAAAATAGCTTCCCAGGTAGAATGTTTGTTGAAGGTGGAGCTACTTTAGAGTCGATACCAATCAGTTAAAACAATTATTTGTGCAGACGTGTGCTGAAAACACAAACTAAACATGCACGGGGCTTTGATGGGAGACAGAATCATGAGTTTCTACGTGTACTTTTACTTTATTTATTTGTATATTTTCCTCATGAACCTGCCTCCTGATGTTAAAGTCTCGCTGACAAACAGCGGATTTATTGGCTGAAACGTGTATTTTTGAACTCCAGCCTCCGTCTCTCCGTATACCTTTGTTTGAATCGAGCACACTGGATTGTAAAATAAGTCCATGTCTATCTTCAGAGGATATAAACACGAGGAAGCTGTTCCAGTCAGAGGAAGGACACGGCGGCTCTGTTTGGTCCGAAGATCTCCGTCTGTCTCACATTGTTTCGTAGTTCAGTAGCCAGAATCTAACCTCTGGACTGAAACTTTGTCTGTGTGCTCCTGCTGTTTTCTCGCAGTGGACTCTGGAGTCCTGATGAGAAGCCGTTCGATACGATTCCACCGGCTTCCATGCAGGGACGAGCTCCCACTGCACCCGGAGCCCGGCGCCATTATGTTGTTTGGCACCGCTGAGCTTGTCAAACCAGTCGGTGGTTCAGATGGGTTAATTGGGTTTTTTTTTTTTTTTGGTTTTGCACACTGGTGCAGAGTTTCTAAACACTCAGGAACATGAAAAACACACTTCTGGGGGCGAATATGGACTCACATGTGGAATTAATCCAGTCTCCTCAAAAATAGCTTCCCTTGATTCCTCGCATTTATAGCTGTTGTAACACATTTATTTTATTTTTCCTTGTTTTCAACACGTAAGCCGGCGCTATGTGCGTTTATGCTAGCTCCATATTTGTTCTATAAAATTCCTTCATCTGTTTTCACATTTCTCATCCTCTCTTTATCTTTCTGCGACCTCATATCAAATTAAACACCCGAACTTTCAGGCAATGCTTGTTGATTCATCAGTTGTTTTTTTAAACGCTTCTACAAGCCGGCTAATGTACGAGAACACTTTACTGAATGTAATAATTGCATTTACTCACATTTAGCACATATTCATATGAGATAAGATAAACTCTCTTTCTGGGATTTTTTGGGAAGATGCTAAAACGTTCTCTGATATAAAAGGGGGAAATGAAAAGTCAGGGAGTTTTATCATTGAACAGTGGAAGATCTGGACTGTTCTGGGGAAAAGAAAGGATACTGCAGATATGGCTGATGCTCAGACAACCAAGAAAAAATGTAAAAGGGTTAAATATAGGGTTAAATCAGAGACACAGGACTGTGTCTGAATTTGTCATTTTAAGTGGCTCTGCTACACTATTTGCTATAAAATCTTATATTTTGATTGCAAGATGTTTTAAAATCATAGTTGTGTGAAGTGAATGTGTCAGTGATGCTGCAGAGGAGTCACTATAAAATATAACAAATGTCAAATATATAAATAGAAGCGACTCGTCTCGTCTTGTTCTCGATTTAAAGACTTTCAATGAACTCACTGACGTTCTTTAGAGTTTATTTTTGTTTGCAGTTGTGTGATTTTTTTTTTTTCCTTTTCCAGGTCACCGGTGATGGCTGGCGGGCTCTTCGCCGTGGACAGGAAGTGGTTCTGGGAGCTGGGAGGATACGACACGGGTCTGGAGATCTGGGGAGGAGAACAGTATGAGATCTCCTTCAAGGTAACGGCACCAAACCAAACACAGAGACTCACTCGGTGTGGAAAATAATCGATGGCTTTTACCTCTGCAGAGGCGCTGACTGGAATCCTGAGAGGAGAGTTTTTTACTGCCATGTTTTACGGCGACTGCGTCCAAATATGTCAAACTATTGAATAAACAGTGTGAACACACGAGTACAAAACCGTTACTGTCTTGATCGCAAACGTCTCAGTTTGATATGACGCCAGACTGAACATATGAGAGGAGCTTTTATGACTTTCTTCAGTCAGAGGTTTACATTCATTTCCTTAGTATTTGGTAGCGTTGCCTTTAAACTGTATGACTTGGGTCCAACGGTGTGGGTTTCCTTCCACAAGCGTCTCACAATAGTTGGATGAGTTCTGGCCCATTCCTCTTGAACTGGTGGAACTGAGTCCGGTTTGTTGGCCGTCTTGCTCCACAAATGTTCTCCAGGATTGAGATCAGGGCTTTGTGATGGCCACTCCAGAACACTGACTCTGTTGTCCTGAAGCCTCTCTGTAACTAATCTGGTGGTCTGCTTTGGGCCATTGTCCATGAAGACCCATTAGTGCCCAAGCTTTAGCTTCCTGGCTGATGTCTTGAGATGTTGTTTCAGTATTTCCACATAATGTTCTTTCTTCATGATGCTATCTATTGTGTGAAGTCCACCAGTCCCTCCTGCAGCACAACACCCCACCACATGATGCTGCCACCCCCGTGCTTCACAGTTGGGATGGTGTTCTCAGGCTTACAAGCTTCTTGCATGTCTCCACAAATGAAGGTCTTTGTCCCGGTGTGGATGTACAAACTGTAATCTGGCTTTTTTTTTTTTTTTTTTTTTGAGGTTGTGTCATTTTTTTGTTTGTTTGTTTTGCTATTGCAGACAAACTTTGCTTTGGACTCGCGGTTCTTCTTTTAGACAATCCGGTAGAAAATATCCGTCATTACGCCCAATATGGCGACAGAGAGCAGAAGTGAATACCCAAAACTCACAGAAAAGTCTTGATACTACCAAAATGAGGGCTAGTTTTGTTTTTAACTGCAGGATTTTACGAGTCTTTTCCAGTCTCGTTACAGCGCAGCATTACGCTAACACTAGCAGTACAGCATTTCTTCATCTTGGGTTGAATATCTTTGGGAGAAACATGTTTTGTTCTTGTAATTACAGTAAATTAAGCAGTTCTCTAAAGACATTTCTATCGTCCTTCCCGCTGTGCAGTTTCATTTGTCGGGAGTTTCAACACTTTTAACATCCCATTATCATATTTTGACATTTAACTGCCTTCAAAGAATTTGGTTGTTTTTCTCTGGATGTTTTCTTCATCCACAGCTCCACGACTCCTTTCTCATTTACGGCTTCAGCTCTTGATCCAGATCCGTTGCGTCGTCGGCTCTCCACATTACTCAAAGTCAGGATTGGGGATTAGATTAGTGTTTTTGTCCGGCTGTAACCGTCGTTGACTCGGCCGCAGGAGCGCTCACAAACATCTCCTCTCGGGCTCCGGACGGACAAAAACCCTCCTGTCGCGGTAATTGAATTCTGCTTCGAACGAGGAAGGACTTTTGTCGTCTCACTCAATTAAGCACAAAGAGCAGCGCTGGCTGGTCTGATTTGATTGGACACATGCTGCAGTGTGATACGACTGCAATTGTTCCTCGGAGGGAAGCTTCCAGATCAGCAGCTCTGTTGTTTGTAATAAAAAAAAAAAAAGAATCTAATTTACTGTCGGAATTGATTTTACTTCCTGCTTCTCCTTCACATTAATGCAGAACCGCTCTGTTGCTTATTGCTCATTGATTCTGATTCAGCACATATGTGGTGCATCAGAGCTGCTACATGCCGTGACCAGGTCGAAATGCTTCACTGTGTCGTTTTGGAGGAGGAGACGGAGACCCCGCTTGGTGAAGAATGTGGAGCTTATTAAATTCATGTCAGCTCATTGATCCTGAAAACCCACCAGAGGCGTGTTGTCTTTTTAAAAATCACCACATTTATGCCATTTATCAGAGCCAGAAACTGTAAAAACACCAACATTCAACTCAACCTTTTTTGGTGAAACTGAAAAATCTAAGCTTAAAATCGCAGTGTTTCATCAAAATCTTATTTTTTCTATGTCTCATATAAAAATTCGCCAAAAATCAAAGCTTTTGCATTAAACGGATTCTGTGAAAAACTAAAAATTCTGGAAGCTTCGGTGAAACTTCGAAAGTCTTGAGTGACGCAACTAAGACCAACAGTCAGATGAGAAAAACTGAGAGATGTATGGCACAAGTATGAAAGTAGTAGTAGTCGTATAAATATCTGTAGTGTGTAGAGAAACCTTTTTTTTCCTGTATTTGTAGAAGCTTTAGCCACTTAAATTTGGTAAATTAACTTAAATGTCCAACATTTTTCCATTTTTGTGACAGAAATATAAAAAGTAATTTCCTAAATATAATTTACAGTGTTTTGCAAATTTACACTGGAAGACCTGACAGCATAAAAACCCAACAAATCCCCCCAAAAACTCTGAACTTTCACTGAAGCCAAAAAGAGATTTTTGTCCAGATAGTTGATCTGCAGCAAGTCGTGCAACTGATTAATCATTTAACTCAGTTCTTTTTAAGCAAAAGTTCCAAACCCCTCCAGTTACAGCTTCTGAATGTAAATATTTGCTGCTTTTCCATGTTTTAACAAACTGGATCAATAAATAAATGCAGCACAGCTCAGAAACAGTGAACAGCCAGTTGTTGGACGATACATCCAGCATGGTGGAACATCCTTCTACAGAGTCACAACTGCGTCCTACAAAAGACGTCTTTTATTTTCCTTCTCTATCTCGTCATCGTTGTTCTGTTTCCAAAGAGGTGCAGGACTTTAAATTGCTTCCTCATGATGCCATCGACTTTGTGAAGTGCACCAGTCCCTCCTGCACCTCCACAACATGATGCTGCCACCCCCGTGCTTCACAGTTGGGATGGTGTTCTCAGGCTTCAAGCTTCCCCCTTTTTCCTCCAAATGTAACGACGGTCATTATGGTCAAACAGTTCAGGTTTAGTTCCATCAGACCACAGGACATGTCTCCACTAATGAAGCGCTTTGTCCCTGTGTGCATCTACAAACTGTAATCTCGCTGTTGCATTGGGGTTTTTTTTGCTTTTACAGACTAACTTTGCCTTGGACTTGTGGGTACTGTCGGTTTTAAGCCAAGTAAAGCCTCATTTTGTGTTTGTAGACAATTCGGTAGAAAATATCCGCCATTATGCCCAATATGGCATGAAAAATGAGCCACAGTGAGTAAAAATGTGAGAAATATTGCATAAAATTCAGAGGCTTTAATACATTTCAGCCAGAAAAGATAAAAAAAACATGACATGGTTTAATTTTGAAGCTTCATTCCAGCTTGTAATGTTGTAATAATGGAGCAGGTTTAGTTCAAATCTATTCTAATGTTGTGTTGAGTCAGACGCTTCGCAGCAACCGAGCAGCTTCGGTTTGTTTTCCAGCCAAGAGGAGACGGAAACAGACAAAGTAATAGTTGAGCTCACATCTCTAAACTATGGACCAGCTGCCATTTGACTCGACAGTGAGTTTTCTGAAGCTCGGATATCAGATGTCGAGCCGGCTGAGCTCTGATTCCTGCGCTTGTTAAAATCCCTCCTGAATTTAAATGTGCAGCAAAAGATGTTTGCTCCTCTGAAACAGACGCCGTCCATCTGACAAGTAACCGCGCAATCAGCGTTGTTGGGTAATTGGTCGAGTCGAAAAGGAAACTTGTCGTGATCCTGCAGTCGCCACAATAACAGAACGGAACATGAAAGAGCATCACATGTGAGGATCGGGAACATGTTCATTCGTTAATTTGTGCAGAACTTATGCAGGACCCTGAGTTCCGACGTCTCGCTGTGCTGCTGCCTTTCGTCCCCGGTGCTCTTTGTCCCTTAAATGAAAAGACTTCAAAGCTCTTTAAGGAACATTTGCAATGCTGATTTGTTCAAATAAGTTCAGGGCTGCTTCGCTTTCATCCAGGTTTGCATTTTTAGCTTTTCGCCATCCAGACGTGTGTTCATCGCTCCAGTGGCGCTCAAAAAGCTCCTACACACAGTCAGCGTTATTTATTTTGCATTTAGATTTATGAAACAAACTTGCTTTTATGCTTTTCCTTCACGTCGGACATTTACACTTACGTCGTTTTAACGCAGCATCAGTGTTTCAACGTGTAATGATATCATGTTACCTTATAGGTCAAAGATGTTTTTAATTAATCGTCTAAAAGCTGAGTTTAGGCACTGATTTGTTAAGTATCCGTTTCAATGAACTTTTTAAGAAAAAATCCTGAATTTAAGGTAAAGAAAAGTTATGAAGCCAATTTAGTTCAATTAACGCAGAAATTTGAGTCGATGTGAAGCTGACGCAACGTTATTATGTCAATATTTGCAACTTAAAAGGTTTTTAAAGGCATTTAATTAGGCGTCGGGATTAGCTTCCTTAAATTATTTTTGGGTAAAATCTTCTTTATGCTGACTGTATTTAGTTACCATGTGGAAAAACAAGAATTATTTTTATATTAATTCCATTTTTTTCCCTCTATTGTCTTGCATATTTAATTTCTGTAGTGCACAGCTGCATATTGTGCGTGCCTCTACTTGATCCAGTGAAACCTGCAACACCAGAGCTGCACATTTATGCAAAAACATGCCACCTTTCCTTTTTTGTTCGTACGCCGAGGACAAGTTCCTCTGAAGGAGACGACGGTGGTTTTAGTGTTGCGAGGTGAGCGGATTGCAGAGGTTGTGTGTTAGAGGTGAGTGATAAGACTTTTAATTTAATCTGACTGACGCTGAACTCGAGCTCTTGATCCTCCCGCAGCTCGGAGCCGCCGTTATTAAGCTCGAGTGTTTCGGTGCAGAGGATGAAGAGGATGGAAGGGATCAGAGCAGCGGGTCAGAGCTTCCCCACGGCGCCTCGTCCACGGGCTCCGTTCAATCTCTTATTTCCCCCGATTCTGTTTGTCCAAGCTGGAGCGCCGCAGCAAACTTGACAAGCAGTAATTGAATTGAAATAGCAGCCAGCTGATGTCCAGGCTGCAGAATCAGAACACCAGCAGACCGGCTGGAAATTAGCTGACCGACATCATCAGGCCGCTTTCTCTGAGAAAAAAGCCTGAAATCCAACCTGTTAGGGGTTTGCAGGTTATTCTAGATGAAAATATTTGAAGTGGAAACTTGTTTGGAACGTAACAGCTTTGTGTGGCTCAAACGAAGTTGGTTATATCATAGATGTTTGTTGGGGTTTTTTTCAGAATAGAGCTCAGAGGTTCTGGTCACGACAGAAGTAGGAGTTGATTTTAAGGTTTGGGAGGATGTGGAGGACGGTGAGGTTTCAGGAGAGGTCACGGAAAGTGTGACTTGGTTTGGATCTTATCATAGAGTCATGAGAGACCTCCTCTGTCAGGTAGACGGATGTAGACAAAGGTTTTCATGCACTTATAAAGACCATAAATTTCACAGCAGCCTTCACTTTCTAATGGCTCCTAGAAGTCTGAGTTTTATATAAAGGAACCATTGGAACACATGCGTGTTTGTCACAAAAAACAGTAATGCATTTATGTTCTGTCATACAATTTCTAAGGTCTTCTGGGTCGAATGCTAGATTGTGTAAAGGTTCCATCGTCATTTTCACCTCAGTTGGGTTCTTCTGGTTTCCATCCACCAGCTTCTGGTTCATCTTTGACTCCTCTGGACAGAATCTGTGCAGTTCAACTGAACTTGTTGTCTTTCTGACTCAGACTTGTTTCATCAGTCCACCGGTTCTTGATGGTTTCAGTCAAGACTTTGGGGAGACCAGTCTAGAACCTTCATTCCAGCCTGATTGAACCATTTCTTCACCACTTTGATGTGTGTTTGGGCTCATTGTCTTGTTGAAATATCCAACTGTGTCCAAGATCAACCTTCTGCTGATGGTTTTAGGTTTCCCTGAAGAATTTGGAGGTAATCCTCCTTCTTCATTGTTCCATTTACTTTGTGTAAAGCACCCAGAGCATGATGCTGCCACCTCCATGCTTGATGGTAGGTTGCATTTCAATCATTCTGTCGTAAAAAGTTAAGAGTTATTGGAAAGTCTTCACAAACAATAATGTGCTAAGTAACTTGAAACCTTTCTAAAATGACAAAAGGTTGTCCAAAATTAGTCCAAAATTGTCCAAAAATTACTCAAACATTGTCCAGAGCAGTTTAAAATCTGTTCGCCACTGTGGTGAGTCACCAAGTGGTCACCTGTGATGTTATACTTGCAGTAAATGCCTTACACGGAGGCAGATGGAAACAGCGTGAAGCTCTACACATACAGCTAACCTGAGCTACTTCACACTTCCAAAGAGTTCTGCTGCTGAAAAGTTAGTTGAGGCCAACGGAGCCCAGATAAGTGCTGCTCTAGGTCCTGAAAGAATGAACTCTAAATATGCAGCTTGGAAAAAAAAACTCATCCATAATCCAACAGCGCTCGCTCAGACGTCGACCTTTTGACCTCAGACTCTTCTCATTAAGTTTAAAGTGATGCATCATCCAAACTCTGGCTTTAGATTTCCAAATACACACGAGCTGCAGACTTGAAAGGTGGCTCTGCTTCCCCTAAGCGGCATAACAAATCCAATTTCAGTCTTTGTCATTTAGCTAAGCATGATTGACTCGTCTTGTTCTCTTCGGTGTAATTTTCTCGCTGCGATCTAGAAACACATGAACTTTTTGAGCGGCGTTATCGCCCCTGCAGACTTCACAGAATGGGATTAATATCTGCAATTTCGGAAGCTTAAACCTAATCTGAGATAATGTTAATCTCTCTGACCGTAAACACGACTCCGACTGTGCAGATCCGCTCTGAATCATTTTACTTTTATTTCTTTTTGCTGTGTTTTATTCCTCCCTCCTCGGTGTCGTGACCCGGCCGGCATCTCTTTGACCCTGTGCATGAACTATACAAATCCTTATGTCCATCTGAAACTCATCCTCCCACTGCTTCAATCTGGTCTCTAAATTGTGACCTCGTCTGCTCTCTGTTGCTTCCCACTCTGTGTCTCATCGCTTCATCTCTCTGATTTTGTTGACCTCGTCGGCTCATTTGATATTTACAGTATTCGACTGCACAAACGGCAGTGATTCTCTGATGTGCTCTCCGTCGCTGTGTTTCTGCAGGTGTGGATGTGCGGCGGTCGGATGGAGGACATCCCCTGCTCCCGAGTCGGACACATCTACAGGAAGTACGTCCCCTACAAGGTCCCTGGTGGAGTCAGCCTGGCCAGGGTGAGTTCAAATCAGGCTTTTGGTGCAGAGAATCTATCTTCAGTGTTGTGAGAAGGTTTTCCATGTCTGACGTGTTGCTGTTTCAACATACAAGATCCTATATCTTCCATTAAACATGTGGAGGATTGGTGGTTGTTCACAAATTCTAGAACCTTTAAGATCTTAAGATTGAAGTTCCTGTAGTTTGTTCTGATCCGGTTGATGCTCAGACCTCATTGTTTGTGTTCCCAACTGTTTTTTTTTTCCAATTAGATGATTCCTTTTTCCTGTTTTTGCTGAGCAGGGTTCAAAAACTCAAAACTTTGCTTCAGAAGTGGTGAACAATTCAGCATCTGTTATCAAGGACTTCAAAGTTATACCCCTACAATAGGCTTCACCAATTCTGACTTACTGGATGTAGACTGAGGGTATAAACCTGCCA